TGGATATTCATTGGAAGGACTGATGCTGAAGCTGAAATTCCAATACTTTGGCCACCTGATTCGAAGAACTCACTCATTGGAAAAGACCCTGATGCTGGAAGGATTGAAGGCAGGAGGAGAAAGGGACAACAGAGGGTGAGATGATTGGGCACCACCAACTAGATGGACATGAGTTTGAGCAAGCTCTGGGAGTTGGTGATGGACTGGGAAGCCCTGCATGCTGCAGTCTGTGGGGTTGCAGAGTCAGACATGACTGAGCGACTGAACAAAGACAACTCATTCCCTATTTTATAGATGAGGAAATTGAGGCACAGAAGGGTTAAGGCCAGTGACACTTTACCATAGAAAAGGGTCACCGGTGCATTCTAGTGGCCAGAGGCAGCAGGGCCTTAAGAAAAGACCCCACTTCCCCATTTACATTTGACAGCCCCCTTGTCCAAGCAATGAGGGCTTTTTTTTTCCCCCCCTGAGGAGAGAGAACCCAGAAAGACTTTTTATGCACAGTTGTAAATTAATGGTCCTGTTTCGAGGAACACATTGAGTGGGAACAGCAAGTTCACAGTTTAGTGTAAAAAGAAAATAGAAAGAGGCATTCTTCAATGAAGCCCTCATTTTTTTTCCCTTTAAATAATAGAAAGCAATTATTCTACTTAATAGCTGTCCAATGCGGGTTAATTGGGAGCTTGGGGGCAAGGCAAGGAACATTGGGCAGAAGAGCTGCAACAAGGTCTTGGAGGACACAAATATGGGATGGATGGGACCAAACGCAGAGTCGAGTTAATTCAAAAATGAGCACAGCCAGGGCCTCTGCTTTCCCTGGAGATGGGATGGACTGCCTTCCCACAGACCTACTCCTGACCCAGTTCAGGTAAGGAGGCGTGGTCTGCTCACTGGACTCTTAAGTACTGTCTTGCTAATTTCCTAGGGCTCATGGTTAAGAATCACCAGCCTGTGTCAGTCTGGGGACCTTTGTGATCTCCTGATTTAGCTTCTTACTCAAATAATGTGAGTGGCTCAGTTCAGCTGGTAAAGAATCTGCCTGCAATGTGGGAGACCTGGGTTCAACTCCTCGGTTGGGAAGATCCCCTGGAGAAGGGGAAAGGCTACCCACTCCAATATTCTGGCCTGGAGAATTCCAAGGACCACAGTCCATGGGGTCTCAAAGACTGAGCTACTTTCATTTTCATTTTCAAATAATTTGACATACAGAGATTCCAGTTCCAGCTCTCTGAGTTCAAAATTCAGTTCAATAGAACACAAAATATTTGACAAGAATTTCATTGAGTTCCCCTCCCCTGTAGCATTTTCTTCAGCTTTTGTTTCACAGACTAGTGCACTGTGGGTCATTCGTGTATTCATTGGACATTCAACAGATATTTCCCCAGCTAAGGGCAATATGTTAGGTGCTTGGAATGCAGAACTCAACTGGACCCAGCACATAAAGCAGAAAAAGAAAAGATGGTTTGAAATGGGACTCTGCCACTTATGAGTTGTGTGGCTTTTGGCAAAACGTTTATCCTTCCAAGTCTTAGTTTTCTTATCTATAAAATGAGAATAATAATACCTTTCATGTGCTTAAAGCATCTGGCACACAGGAGGTGGTCTGGAAATAGTAGATGTATTTTTGCCCCAAGCCATAACATCACCACTATACATCACCACTGAAGAAGGCAGTTTGGGGTTTTAATATGATGCCCTGAGGATAGAAGCAGGGCGTATACAGGGAGAAGTCTCAGCGGGCAAGGGCAGGGTGAGGGGAGTAGGGGAGTGGGGGTGGGTCTGTCATCTGCCTGCTGGTGAAATACTTGGTAACCTTTGTGAATTTTCACATCTCCAATTTAGTTTTGAGGACAGCACTCATAATATCTGGTACAGAGCAAACTAGATCCTCAGACCTGGAAGAACAAAGGTCTGACTAATGTTCTGATGTTATAGAGGCAGATACAGCCCACCCATATCATCTAGAAATACCCAGGCTTCCCCCAGAGACAGGGAGTCATGTCTAGTGATGAAAGCTCTGCCTGGAGAACTGGATTCAATTTCAAGTCATCAACTCACAGGTGTGGCTGATTTTAGACACATTTACCTTCATTCCCACATCTATGTGGATAATAATGGTTACATTGGAAGTAGCTCATGTAGATTTTTCATAGATCCCTCGGTCAACATCTATTATCGTTGGCTATTAAGAAGGCTATAGTCAGGGGCTCTGCCCTCAACCCCGAGCAGCCCGATTCAAGAAGAGCAGGGACAGCCGGGAACAAACTCTCTCCATTCCGCCATTGCTGGAACAACAGTGGTTTCTGGAATCCGTATGGGCAGAGTAACCTTTGAATATGAAGAACAGCTCTCTATGTACACAGACAGGGCAAGGCTGTATTGATTCAGACCATAGAGCAAGTCAGTCTAAATTACAGTCAGATCAGGAAAGAAGGCAATTTTATTACTTTCCATCGCCGACATGGCTTATCAACATGCTTCTGCACACACGTTTCTATGGGGCTGACTTAATGAACGAGGGAACCTATTCATAATTAGCAGCACCTATTTGTGTGCCAACAATTCATATGCGAAAGTCAATTTCAATGGCAAAGACAGCATTTAATTTACAGAGCACATTGTCCTTAAAAACAATTTACGTGACAAGCTGCTCCTGTGGACTGCCTGCTTAGGTGAAGTGCAGATTAGTTTAGCAAATCCTTTCCTTCAAGAGAAGCACTAGAATTGAGCAGAGCTCCAGCCCAGGTGCTAGGAGGGGCCCTTAAAATACTTCAGGACAAACCTTTGAGGCCCCAGAGGAGAACGTGTGGGGGCCTCTTCCCAGGTGGCACCCGTGTAGACATGATCCAACCCTGTAGCCAGGACCGGCCTTTCCAAGGTCATGGGCATGTCTTGGAAATTGGTGGAGTCCCAAACAACATGGCATTTCTTCTTTGAGATATTTCCCCAAGGGATCTGCTTGGACCAGCTACATCTGAATCTCTGGGGGGCTGTTAAAATGTAGACCTTTCCTTATCCTGTTCCAACTGTTGTAGATATCTCAAAATATCATTCACACAAATTACCACCTCAAAATAATAAGTCATCAGAGTTGCTGCTAGATCTTGTTTTATAATGTTCTAATAAAAAACATATGATGACTATATCACGGTTTAGCTAAAATATATTGGTAACTGCCTTTTAATATGGTTAGCTTCCTTTATAAACTGGTACACTTTATTTCATACATTTAAAAGTACTGTTCTAAGGCAGGGTCCACAGGCTTCATCAGGTTGCCAAAGGGGTCCACAGAATCCTTAAGTGTAAGAACAATCATATAACTGACCAGTGGCTGGAAGACCCTGTAATCAGAGGCATCTCATGACTTTGGGGGTTTGATGGGAATGGAAACACAATTTCCAAATTCAGGTGCCAAGAAAGTAGCTCTAGTGACCATAAAAGGAGCCCCTTCAGCTCGAAACAGTGACTGCTTCCCTTTGCAGAGGTGCAAGCCATATACTCAAGGTAGGATGACTGTCCTGGGTATACAGGGAATTCTTGGGAAGAGGCACAAGTTGCTTTATGAGTCCTGAAATCTTTTATCATTCAGAATTTTCTAGAATTTCACACTACCTCATACTTTAACATACTCTAGCATTTCTGTGATCATTACTCTAGTTCCATCTGGAGCTAACGCATGACTGTGTCATTTGACGATCAATTGGATAATAAGTAAATACAGTTTTATATTTCTCTGGTTGGCCAGACTCGGCCCAGACCTGAATTAGGGGGTGTAGAAGCATAGCAATCATTACTTAAACTTGGGACACCCCAGCCTTCTTCTCTCCGCCTTTCTGCCCCTTCTCTCCCTCTCTCTTTGTCTGGCTCTCCCTGTTTTCATATTTCCCAAGGACTGACTATGCGCCGAGCAGTATTTGTGGTGTTGAGGTTACAACAGTGAACAAAACAAATATCCCTTCTCTCTGTGAGAATATATTCTAACAGCAGGAAACAGACAATTAAAAAAATTAATGAGTCAACTATTGAGGGTGTCTGGGGGAAGGAAGGAGGGGAATGACTGCTAATGGCTCTCAGGTTTCTTGTTGGGGTGATGAAAATGTCCCAAAATTGATTGTGGTTATGGTTGCATAACTTGGAAACACACTAAAAGCCATTGAATGATGATGCACTTTAAGTAGGTGAACAGGATAGGAATTATATCTCAGTGGACTTGTTACTGAAAAACAAAAAGAAATACTGAGCATGTCATAGGGTAAGAGCTGGGGAGAAAGGTAAAGCAGTGAAGAGGGAGCAGGGTTCTCAGGGTGTTATGATTTTAAACAGGGTGGTCAGGGAAAACTTCAGTAAGGGGTAACATCTGGGTGAGACTTGAAGGTAATGAGGAAATTAGCTATGTGGCTATTTGGAGGATGAGAGTGGTTTAGGCAGAGGGAATAGTGTGTGCAAAGGCCCTGAGGCATGTCTGCTATGTTCAAGGAACAACAGTCACGTGTGACTGAGTTCAGCAGGCCTGGGGAGGAAGTGGAGGAAGATGTCTGAGGGATACAGGTGGGGGGCCTGGATGCAATTTTGAGGATTTTGGCTTTTCCTGTGGATCAGATGGGGAGCTAGTGGAGGATTCTGAACAGACGTGGTCCCGTTGTGGAAATCAACAGTCTTTGCAGCATTTACCGTGTGCCAGGGACTGCAGAGACCTCCCTGGTGGGTGTCAGCTTGCTGAGTCACTGCAACTACATTCTAAGTGAAGTATTACCATATTCTCTGTTTTATAAAAAAGGAAATGGAGGCTTAGAAAAGGGTGGGAGGCTGACCTCCATCAGAAGCAGTCTTTACCAGTCTACCTGACTCCAGAGCCCTCACCTTCACCAGGGCCATCAACACTGATCTGTGTACACAGCAGGTGCTTAATAAAAGAAGTCAGCGGATTGGTTACAGAGCACTGCCCTGAGCACAGTCAGCCCCTCGGGCACAGAGTAGGGAGAGAACCAGCATCCACTTACTCAGCTCTGCGATGCTGCCGACGCGGGTGGCCAGCAAGGATTGCTCGATGGTCCTCAGCTCGGACTGGCTAAACATGGGCAGCTCTCCCGGCTTGCTGGTCCGCTGCGGGTCCCGGTGAAGGTTCAGACTGTCTGGAAGACAGAGCACTCCTGCAGGTGGTGGGAACAGAGGGTGAAAGGAAAACAGATTGTTATTTTTCTGCTACCCAAAGGAGGGGTACAAAACCCCTCAAACCCCACGCACAGCCTCAAACCACACCAGAGTTGGTACTGCAAAGGAAATATGGGAGCCAAGGCTCTGCATTCTCTAGGAAATGATGTCTAGGTCTTTCCAAAGGTCTCCTGATGATTTAACAAACATTCATCTGTATGCGCACATGCCCAAAGGACATAGAAGAAAATCATTTCCTCAGAGCTGGCAGGCACCCCACCTGCACAGAAACACCACTTGAGAACTCAGTGGTCACGGTCCCACCAGCCTTCCTGAGGCAACTGCCACCCCAAGCGCCCTGGAGGACATCTCTCCTGGCAGTCCTCTGAGGGCTTGCTTTACTTCCCCAGCAAATTCCACTCTGGGTGGTTGGGCTGTTATCTGTCAGACAAAGCTCTGACTTTCTCCATAGAGCTGTATTTCAGGAGCTAAAAAGCCCCCACGGGCTTTTGTAACTTGTATGGTGAATACCCATGAGAGATCCCTGGAATCCAATTATTTTCATCCCTTCCTTTCCATTCCATGAACATTTAGTGAGAACCTGAGAACTTACTTAGAATTGACCATTCAGAACTAGCCACTGTTCCTGTCATCACCACAACCTCCATAGGCAGAGTGTGCTTTCTTGCTCCTTGCCTTTGGGTTTCACGAACTTTGGCCAAAGGTATGTTAAGAGATATGATGGAACCAAACGTCTGAAAAGCACCCGTGCAGTTGAACTTGCTCTTTTGCATTTTTGCATTGTCATGAGAAAAACACACCCTGCTTAGTCTGCTGGTGTAAGGAAGGTGAGAGACCCATAGGGCCGATCCAGTACAATCTGTAGCTTGGAGCTGCCCCACAAAAGCAAGTGTTAATTTAATATGCCATTGAGATACCCAGGGTTGTTCGTTACTCAGTATTATCATGGTGATGACTAGCAGATACACCTACTGTATGTCAATCACGGAGGAGACAGTGAATGAGGCAGGCATGTGCTGTGCTGCATTAGGGACTGAGGATATGCTGATGGACAGGATACACTTACTCCCGTTCTCAATGGGCTCACAGTCTAAGTGAAGCAGGTGGGACTATTACACACATAACCACAAAGCCATACAATACATGCTCTACGGTAGGAGAAGATGAGAAGATTAGCAGGACCTGAACTAAAGTAGTTGTCAATAAGTAGGCAGCATTTACTGAGTACCTACTGTAGTCCCAAATCTGCCAGGCATTTTGGAGATGTAAAAGAAGCCGAAGATGTATTCAAGAATAAACTCACTGGGGAAACAAGACTGCCAATGACAAAACAGCTGGAGTCCAGTGAAGCAGTATCAGCACACAGGTGCTGAATTATTTAAGCCAACTGTCAGGGCGAGGGGACAGACAGAAGGCAAAGGTCAAAATTCAAGTCCACTGCTCACCCTGTTTGAACCACAGAAGCCCAGCAAACAAAGGCTCCTCCTTTGAAGACACACCTCTCCTGCCCCCTGCTGCATAATCAGTGGCTCCAGCCACACTGCCCTAGTCAACTGGTCTTGAATATTTTACTTTCATACCTAATGAAAGGCTGACAGAGTGGAGAAGGCAACCAGAACAGATTTTTTTGAGTAATAAATAAATGGATACACAGTGCAAATGACCATTAGAGTTTAATGTTCATATAATCAGGAAACTGGTCAAATGAATTTTTGAGATTGTTTTCTAACTATTGTTTTTCAAAAACCTTGGACTCAATAAGAATATACTTTACATCACAACCCAGTACACACAGCTTTCCCAGGTGGCTCCGTGGTAAAGAATCTGCCTGCCAAGCAGGAGACGTGGGTTCAATCAAGGAAATGGCAACCCACTCCAGTATTCTTGCTTGAAAATCCCATGAACAGAGGAGCTTGGCGGGCTACAGTCCACGGGGTCACAAAAGGGTCAGATACAACTCAGCGACTACACCACCACCACCAACACTACTACACACGCTTTTCATGTTTTCCATTAAAAAATGTTGTGGAAAATAATATTGATCCTTACTATGTACGAGGCATGCTCCATTTTTTCCCTCTTCACTTCGTTTCTATCTTACCAATAAAAAATGCTGAGTGTCGCACCAAAAGCGATTTCATGGCCCACTAGTGGGTCGTGACTGGCAGTGTGAAAAGCTCTGTGAGCCAGGCTGGTTCACACCTTGGCATTAACTGGACAATACAGACTGATGATTTACTGGATACTACTTGGCACTGGGTTGGGCTCCACATAGGCTGCAGAGAAGGCTGAGAGGTGATCCCCGCACTTCATGGACCCTCGGCTTTTCAGGAAAGGCAAAATTTCTTCACAGAAATGCTCATCATGTAAGGCCGGGCCTCCTGCCTGTCCTTTTCCCTTAATACCTGAGTCATCCCTCGGTCACCCCAGGCAGGGACGCCCTGAGTCATCCTTGCTTCCTCCTCTTTGCTCACCTGCCCAGACGTTTGGTCAGAGGTCAAGTCAAGTAGCCGTGGCCATGGCAACGAATGCTGGGCCAACCCTTCATCTGATGCCTCTGAAGTTCCTGACTCTAATTCAGAGGTTCACCACTCTTAAAAGTGCACATGGCAAATGATAGCAGGTGACCACGACCCAGGGGGACAAGTGACCCAACGTTCAGGGTATGGGGCCCTCTGCTGGGGGAGGGGGTAGCAGCCAGGGGGCTTCACAGTAAAGTGGACCAGGGAGTGGGCCGGAACTGTCAGGGAGGATGACGTTCTCTAATGAACAATACAAAAGGCCCTGACATGTACTCACAGGTTTGCTTTCTTGGCAACTGCATTATACACAGCAAGTTCTTATCCCAGGCTGGCATCTGAAACATTGCTTCACACATGGGTTGAGGCACAAGCAAATGTGCCTCAAATGTGACTCCAGACTTGGAATCTGGAACCCAGAGCGCCAGTCTTGGCTCTACCACTTCCTACCCATGTGTAACTTTGGGGAGGTCAGAGAACCTCTCTGGACCTCAGTTTACTCTTCTGTGAAATGGGAGTGATAAGAACAGCCTCACCTCCCTCATGGCACTGCTGAGGGTAGCGGATGAAATGAGGCTGTGTGTGCTAAACTACTTTGCACGTGCTGAGCAATAGTACATGCTTGACATATGTTAACTGAGATGAAAATCGGTCAAAGTGTATAAACGCAGCTTTGAACTGCTTTATGCTTCATCGTGAGAATAAATAATTTCCCTCAGAATTATTCATCCTTCTTTTAGAGGGTTATGAAATTTAAATGTGAAAATATAATTATTCAAAGAAGCTTTGAAAGCTAGAGTACTAGGATTTGAGAAATCTATAATTGATCTATTATGCAAAGATTATATACCAGGGTTTTCCTTTTTTTTTTTTCTTTTGTTTTGATGACTCTATACGGGGTACACACATAAACTAGAGTCATTTTTTTGTGTATAAAAATCAACCAGGTCATAAAGAAGGTCCCGGCTGCATATTTTAGTGTCAGATACAGGCTTGAGGGTTTTGGAGTACTCATTAATTTCTGGTGTTGGAGCCAAGGACAGCCACAGCGTGGTGACTGACCCAAGTTTCAAAACAGGGGAGACCTAAGGTTCAAACATGACTTTGGACCTAAAGGAATATGGTCACCTTGGAGAGCAGGTGACCACTGGGGAGCATCTACGATGCTGAAGGCGTCACCGTCTTACTGAAATCTATCACGGTGGGGTAGGTTATATATTTGTCTAAGGAGAAATCCATTCACATTTTCAAAGGGATTGGCAAGTGCTAAAAGATGATGAACCAGTGCCTTTGAATGTCCACGTTTCCAGCCATAACCAACCTGGGACTGATCAACCAGGGGAGGCCAGGGGCAGGCTTTCGTCCTGCCCCGGTCCCCTGGGCAACCTGGACAAAGCGCTTCCCAGACTTCCAGTCGGCTTCCGTGTCTGCAAAGAGGGCTTAAAGTATCCACGTCATCAGTTTATTGTGTTGCTTAAAGAAAAGAAATATTTAAGGCCTCCAACCGATAGCAAGTGTCTACTAGATGGCCTCTTCCCACAATGTGCTGCTTTGTTTATCTAATGTCTGGATTCAAATAGTCTTACAGATCATCCTTCCACAATCCTGTGTGACTGGAGACAGACAACTTTTTGGTCAGGTCATTTAGGATAGAAAATATGAGAACCACTCCTCTGGGTGGGCCCCTGGACCAACCACATCTGGCATTCTGTCTCCGCTGGTGGTGATCCGGGCAGTTCTGCCTCCCTGAATGCCTACCTTCCTATAGGATGGTTCCTTGGCAAACACAACACCCTGCCATCCTTTCCCTCCACACAGCTCTTCTCTGTGTCTCCATTCTATCAGTGGATCAGGATGCTATTTACCCACCAAGAGAAAACCAAATACAACAACCGTCAGCACTCATTCATTCTCCCCTTGATGTGATGATGGTGACGGGAGACAAGGGGGCTACATAACCCATCCTGGGCTCAGGTTTGGGTTCTGCCTTGTCTGTCTCTGGCTGTGAGAAGGAGACAGACTGTCCTATGTCCTGCCTGCCAAGCTAAGCCTCGTTTTCTGCTAGGTTGTCCCCAGAATTTAAAGTGGAGGGCCCTGGCACCAGTCCCAGCTTTAAGAAATGGGAAGGAAGCAGCTGGGGTGCAGCACTCCAGCCCTCAAACTGGCCCTGGACAGACCTGGCTGGGTTCAGATTCCTGCCTCACCGTCTCCCAGCTGTGAGGCCTGGGGCTTGCAACTGGGCTCCTCTGAGCCTCTGCTTCTCCCTCTGAAACTTGTTTGATGCCATCTACCTCCTACTGTGCTTGGGAGGCCGTAATGGGATAATCTACATGGACAGCCTGTCACAGAGAAGGGGGTCGATAAATGTTTGTTAATAATCCAAGTGAAGTTCTTTGAAGGGAAAGATTTAGGAATTCAATAACACGCTGCTAGAGGGCTTTCTTCTACTGTTTAATTTA